ATAAATTATATAAACGGTCATTGAACTTTTCAGTCACTTGAATTTAGGTCCCCCAACTTTTAAAACTTGCAAAACAGTCATCAATTTCATTCTAAACCCCAATTTCCAAAGTAATTCAATTTTATTCTAAACCCTAAATTCTAAAATACTTCAATTAAATTCTAAAATACTTCAATTTAAGGTAATATAGGCTTGAAGAAAGAGTTCAAGGCACGGACACAACGAATAAAAATATATTTATATAAATGTATATTTATATTTAGATGTATAAATAAAAAATATATTCATATATTAATGTATGAATCATTTATATTTTTTGAATATTTTATTTTTAATAAGAAATTAAAATTATTAATTATATTAGAAATACTCAACTTAAGATTATATATATAATCATGGATTATAAATATGAAAAATATAATTATTAAATTTAGTTTAAAAATATATAAATCTTAAATTTATTCTTTTAAAATATTGTATTAACTAATATTTAAAAAATATATTAAATCTATCAAACAATTTATCAAATATAATATTTTTTATTGTAAAAATATAATATTTTCCCATCATTTATTGCTTTCAAATTTTTTGCCGAAGTTCAAATCTCATTATTTCCATTTTACATTATATTCTTTTTTTTTCTGGCATTGATCATACTATTAGTATATGTATTATTGTATATCTCTTAACACAAACGATGGTGTTAGCTTAATGGCTCCACCCTGTATCTTTCATTTGCGTGACTCAGGTTTGAGTTTGCCCAAGACCCAAATTTTACTTCTTTGTAACTTAATTTTCTTCTAATTAGGAGGTGACATGTGTCACCAATAACACATATCATGATCATGTGTTAACACATGTCAAATCCTGATTAAATGATTAATTTATTAAATTTTATTTAATTTAGGACCAAATTGATAGCATATATAAATAATTAGGTGGTAACATGTGTCACCAATGACACGTGTCATGATCATGTGCTAACACATGTCAGATCCTAATTAAATGATTAATTTATTAAATTTTATTTAATTTAGGACCAAATTGATTATATAAATAATAAAGACTGAATGTATAATAATACCAATTCCTTTTAACTGCCACATCATCATTTTTATCAATTGGTAACGACTAGTGGCTTAGTTGAAACAGTTAAATAATTATGTGGTATGATTGATAAATTTAAAAGATCGATGACAAAAGTAAACATGGCTAGATAGTTAAGTTGTCAACCGAGTAGTTTACACTTTTATTTATACGTCAAAATAACATTTTATAAATTTAAAATTCGAATTATTTTCAACCTCTTCTATATCCTAACTACTTTTTTAATTAAAAAATTTCTTCAACAGATAAGAATTATACTATTATATTTATATAAAAATACGTATCACATGAAATAAGATGAAATTAAATAATAATAAATTTGACATAATTGAATTTAATTTAAGTATTTTGGAATTTAGGGTTTAGAATAAAATTGAATTACTTGGAAATTGGGGTTTATAATGAAATTGATGACTGTTTTGCAAGTTTTAAAAGTTGGGGGACCTAAATTCAAGTGACTGAAAAGTTCAATGACCATTTATATAAGGGTAAAGTATAGTAATGGTCACTGAACATTTCTGAAGCTTGCATTTAGGTCCCCCAACATTTAAAACTTGCAATACAGTCCCCCAACATTTATTCCATTTGCAATATGGTCCCCCAACTTAAACCACAGTTAGAAAATTAGGAAAAATTATATAAATGGTCATTGAACTTTTCAGTCACTTGAATTTAGGTCCCCCAACTTTTAAAACTTGCAAAACAGTCATCAATTTCATTATAAACCCCAATTTCCAAGTAATTCAATTTTATTCTAAACCCTAAATTCCAAAATACTTAAATTAAATTCAATTATGTCAAATTTATTATTATTTAATTTCATCTTATTTCATGTGATACGTATTTTTTATATAAATATAATAGTATAATTCTTATCTGTTGAAGAAATTTTTTAATTAAAAAAAGTAGTTAGGATATAGAAGAAGTTGAAAATAATTCGAATTTTAAATTTATAAAATGTTATTTTGACGTATAAATAAAAGTGTAAACTACTCGGTTGACAACTTAACTATCTAGCCCTTTTTACTTTTGTCATCGATCTTTTAAATTTATCAATCATACCACATAATTATTTAACTCTTTCAACTAAGCCACTAGTCGTTACCAATTGATAAAAATGATGATGTGGCAGTTAAAAGGAATTGGTATTATTATACATTCAGTCTTTATTATTTATATAATCAATTTGGTCCTAAATTAAATAAAATTTAATAAATTAATCATTTAATTAGGATCTGACATGTGTTAGCACATGATCATGACACGTGTCATTGGTGACACATGTTACCACCTAATTATTTATATATGCTATCAATTTGGTCCTAAATTAAATAAAATTTAATAAATTAATCATTTAATCAGGATCTGACATGTGTTAACACATGATCATAATATGTGTTATTGGTGACACATGTCACCTCCTAATTAGAAGAAAATTAAGTTACAAAGAAGTAAAATTTGGGTCTTGGGCAAACTCAAACCTGAGTCACGCAAATGAAAGATACAGGGTGGAGCCACTAAGCTAACACCATCGTTTGTGTTAAGAGATATACAATAATACATATACTAATAGTATGATCAATGCCAGAAAAAAAAAGAATATAATGTAAAATTGAAATAATGAGATTTGAACTTCGGCAAAAAATTTGAAAGCAATAAATGATGGGAAAATATTATATTTTTACAATAAAAAAATATTATATTTGATAAATTGTTTGATAGATTTAATATTTTTTAAATATTAGTTGATACAATATTTTAAAAGAATAAATTTAAGATTTATATATTTTTAAACTAAATTTAATAATTATATTTTTCATATTTATAATCCATGATTATATATATAATCTTAAGTTGAGTATTTCTAATATAATTAATAATTTTAATTTCTTATTAAAAATAAAATATTCAAAAAATATAAATGATTCATACATTAATATATGAATATTTTTTATTTATACATCTAAATATAAATATACATTTATATAAATATATTTTTATTCGTTGTGTCTGTGCCTTGAACTCTTTCTTCAAGCCTATATTACCTTAAATTGAAGTATTTTAGAATTTAATTTAAGTATTTTAGAATTTAGGGTTTAGAATAAAATTGAATTACTTTGGAAATTGGGGTTTAGAATGAAATTGATGACTGTTTTGCAAGTTTTAAAAGTTGGGGGACCTAAATTCAAGTGACTGAAAAGTTCAATGACTGTTTATATAATTTATCCTAATTTTCTAACTGTGGTTTAAGTTGGGGGACCATATTGCAAACGGAATAAATGTTGGGGGACTGTATTGCAAGTTTTAAATGTTGGGGGACCTAAATGCAAGCTTCAAAAATGTTCAGTGACCATTACTATACTTTACCCTTTATATAATTTATCCTAATTTTCTAACTGTGGTTTAAGTTGGGGGACCATATTGCAAATGGAATAAATGTTGGGGGACTGTATTGCAAGTTTTAAATGTTGGGGGACCTAAATGTAAGCTTCAGAAATGTTCAGTGACCATTACTATACTTTACCCTTAAAATTATGCAAAAAAATGATTAAATTATAACTAATTACGTATATGATTTGAATTATTCATATTATAATTGTACATGTTAAATCATGTTAAACTACTTAATTTGAATTATTTTTTTGTATTTAATTCAAAATAAATAAATTATTTAATTTGATATTAAAACAATATTATTTAAAAAAATAATTATTTCTTAATTTAGTTAGATGAAATATTAAGTTTTTTAAATTATATTTAAATTATAAATTTTAAAATTGAAAATGGAACAAATTGATATACATCCCTAAACCTAATACCCACTCATTTTTACCACAGCCCCAACTCTAGTGCTTTTGCACTCTAGCAGACCCCGTATCCGTATGTGTGCCTCCTCCTAGATTTTAGAACGTCGTGCACTTGGATCTGTGATTGACGACGATAAATGGACTATCGTTTTTATAATAATGATCGACGATGACCGACGATAGTAAGTAATAATGATAAAAGATTTATAATTATAGATTATAGGAGTTTAGTTTTTTTCCTTTTTAATTTTTTATAGAAATTTCGAAGTTTTCTTGAAAAAAAATAATATTGTTTTGAAGGTTTTTAATATATTTTAAACGTATAAATGTGAAACGTGTCATGTTTTAAGCGGTTAACAAATTTTTTTAACGGTTATATTGCACAAGACACTTGAAATGAAAACGTCGAAAAAGTTAGGTACCTGTCTTGACAAAAAAAATTGAGGCACCTAAAATGAATATAAGAGACATAGTTTGGATACTCTTTAAATTAAGTCCTATAATCATCTCAAGACATATCGATGTAAATTCATTTGAAATCAGACCCAACTTAATCTTTCATAAAATTTATTTCAACTCGTATATAATTAATTCTTTTATTAGCCTAATATGATTATAATATAGTATCTATTTAAAAAAATTAATAATTGACAACGTACACACATATTACAGACGCAAGTGCTTGAACCAATGACTTCAAAGGAAAATAACACTTCATTTAACTAACGATATCATTTAATGAGTTTAAAATTATTATTTTTATTGATCTTATAAAATTAAATAGAATAAAAATCGTAGAATTCAATAAAAAAATTACCATCCTTGGTTAATAATATTGTGGTGGTGGTAGCTTCGAATTCCTTTTATATGTAATTGTAATGAATGAGAAGGGCACCCCAACGTCCAGTCTTGGCTACCTAATCAAACCGCACACACTTGACTGTGATGTAAAACAGCGACTACAAAATTTACGCGCACCTTGTCATGTTTTCGCCATCGAACTGTCAGGTAGACCGACCAGTCAAATTTCAATCTCTCATTACAACAACAACAATATAACAACTTACGAACCCTACTTACTTTCTGCAAATTTTATTATTCTTTCTTTTAAACATCAATCACTGAGTTAACAACCCTTCCATTTGTTCTTTCGTTTTGTTTCGAGTTTTTTTATCAAACAAGGTGGGTCATTTCCTGGTACAAGTACTCTTAACAAATCTCTCAAAGTCATATCTACTTTTTGCATTTGTCTCGTCTGTCTTCTTCTTCTTCTTCCTCCATATTCCCACTTTATCTCCCCTGGAAATGTAAGTTTTCTCTTTTTTGTGGTTTTTTTATGTTGGGGATTAAGGGTTTTCGGGTTCCAGCTGGAGATTATGATAGGATGATTGATGATTCTGAAGCTTCGTGTTTGTTTAAAATTCTTGGTATCTCCAAAGGGAATTTTTTTATTTTCTTAGTTCATTTTGACACAAATATTCAGGCTCAAATTTGAAAGTTGGAGTGAATTAATAATATCTGAGAGAGAGACAGATTTGAGGTTTGAAGAATGGCGGAGCCGCCTAGTAGCAGGCTTCAAAAAATGCTGCAGGCAGCGGTGCAATCAGTTCAATGGACGTACAGTCTTTTCTGGCAAATTTGTCCTCAACAAGGGTAAACTTCTCCCATGAAAATTCTGAAATAAATTTGTTTTCATGAAAATTTGTGTTACACTAATCAGTTTAATTGTGTTTTTCACTTAGGATGTTAATATGGTCAGACGGATACTACAATGGAGCAATCAAAACAAGAAAGACAGTGCAACCAATGGAGGTTAGCACGGAGGAGGCCTCTTTGCAAAGGAGCCAACAGCTTAGAGAGCTCTACGACTCACTATCTTCTGCCGAGACGAACCAACCAGCCCGACGACCATGCGCGGCTTTGTCGCCGGAGGACTTAACCGAGTCCGAGTGGTTCTACTTGATGTGTGCCTCCTTCTCTTTTACTCCTGGTGTAGGGTAAGTTCTACCAATTAGCCATTAGGGAATTGACTTTTAATGTGAATTACTTATTCCAGTGAACCCAGTGCTCGAACCTGCAAATAAAAGTAGTAAAAAAGAAAAACTAATAGGTGTGAGGATCTCTTTTGTTTTACACTAGACTGTCAGTAAAGTAAAAAAAAAAATTCTATAATGCAGCCTGTTCCCTTCTGTTTGTCTCAACAACTCCTTTATAAACAAAATTCAATGTTTCCATTCCAAGATAGTAGGATATTTATCATCTCCAGCACACAATTCAATTCTGCTTTTTCTACTTTAAGATAGAAAAGAAAATAATTGAGTAGTTCTTTCTTAGCCTTTCTTCACCGCACAGTGCAGCTGCTAAGTAAACAATTAAGAACAGTAAATGGGACAGTTAGGATCTATTTCCCAGATTTAATTCGTTTCTATGAAGAAAATTAAGTGGATATTTGGTTGCTGTTGCCTTTTATAATCTATGTTGCATGGGGCAAGGGAACTCAATGTCGTTTCAATATGTCCCAAAGATGGACACAATTTGAGTTAGGGACATGACTAGAATTAATTAAATACGTCCGAGAGATTTTCAGGACAGCTATTGATCTACAGGTGTGTACTCAGGGTTATTTTTTATATTTAATTTAAAAAAAGTTATTTGAGTAAGTAATTGAAGTTAATTTTGAAGCATGTAATATCAGTTGACTTAAGACGAATTTTTTATTGGGATACGAGTACTTTTTGATTGAGATGTCTTTTTATATATGAACAGTCTTTTAATTACTTTTCTAACGTATAATGAAATGTCTCAATCGGACATCGAAAACTCAATATATGTCTATTTTAATGAAGATAGTGTAAGCATAAAATTAGATATGGGCCTAATACATAATTTTATAGTAGTTACGAATTTTAAAATTTATTTATATATACGATACCTTTATCGTATATGTCTCACGGTGGGTAATTCATAATTGCCGGATGTCTTCCACGAAAGTTGTTCTCAACCTAGCGTTGGGGGCAGCCTACTACCCTACCTCCCTTTTATCCCATTACATACGGGGATAGGGTCAACTTAATTTTTATCATATATTTTTAAAAATTATAATTTCACGTCCACGTATCCATCCCGTATCTGTCCCTATATTCGTATTAGTGAAGCATAGTTTATAATAGGGTTAGGTGAGAGTCGAGAGAGACTTTTCATATGTGCTTGTCTGGTTCATATTTCGGGGTGGTTTATGAGATTCCCGTGTGTTTTTCGCAGTTGAGTGCTGAAACTTGAAAACTGGTTGAATTTGTCTTTTGCCAGATTTAAAGATTTGAAAAAAATTATAGGGCATGATAGGATGGTGATAAATAGTGGTTGGGTGTCAGCGAATTTTTCCACAACGGGAATACCAGTTGAGCAAAAGAAACCAAATGAATCCCTACTACAACACGCCGACCATATTTAATCATTCTTCTCAAACTTTCTAATATAAGATTTACTATAAAATCTACTAGCTTCTGCTTTGTAGACCTGCAATTCTTTTTACAGTCACCATATTTTTACGTCAAATCAATTACCTTATTGTTCGAGGAACATATTGATAATCATGGAGGAGCTATGCAGACGACTAGGCTCTCGTCTCTTTACTTGGAACAAGAAACTTTAGGCATTGCTTATGTATATAAATGGAACAATCATGTTGTTTCTTTAAATTCTGAAGCAAAATTATTGAAGAGTGATGCAATATATTGCGTAGGTTACCGGGAAAGGCATACGCGAGGAGGCAGCATATATGGCTTACTGGTGCAAATGAGGTCGACAGCAAAACCTTTTCAAGAGCCATTCTTGCTAAGGTAATTAGAATTAAATTCGACTCCGAGTTCAAGAAGTTTTATATGTAGATGTGCACGATTTTATCTATATTTAAAACTTAAAACATATATTATCTTATAATCATATTAGAATCTTAAAAATACTTATGCATTTTTTAATTGCAATTCAATGCACTAACTCTACTCCATCTTCTTGTTTGTCAACATAAAATAATACCGTACAGAGTGCTTGTATACAGGTATATATATATCTCTCTTTTTTAACTCCTCATGAATGATTAAATTAAACGCACCTTAAGCATTGTTCAACTTTAAAAATCAAACCATTTGTTTCTGTTTTTATTGTTGTAGACTGTGCTTTGCATTCATCTTCTTGATGGTGTCCTTGAACTTGGCTCTACTGAAAAGGTAATTAAAGTTGTCTCTTCATGAAAATAAAACATTCATTAATTTTTTATGGTGTATTTAAATATTATTATTTCACTAAATATGTATTTTTTTAATAAAAAAATATATTCGATTTCTTCATTCATGTGCTGAGCGCACGCAGATTCTAATTTAATAATATTTCAGATCCAAGAAGATTTAGGGTTGGTACAACATGTCAAAACTTTTTTTAATGATGGTCAAACTACAACCCCTCCACCACCAAAACCAGCTCTCTCCGAACACTCCACCTCAAACCCCGCCACCTCGTCGGACCAGACTCGCTTCCATTCCCCTTCCGTTCTTCCCCTATGCTCCGCCGCAGACCCACATGTAAACGTTACCCAAGAAAACGACGACAATGACGATGACGACGATGAAGAAGACGAAGAACCTGAATCTTACTCAGCCGAAACCGGTAGAAACACCCTCCAAGTCCCCACGCAAAACATTCAAGCTGTATCAGCTGCAGTGGCGGACGAACCGTGTGAGCTAATGCAGATGGAAATGTCAGAAGATATCAATCTAGGTTCACCAGACGACGCATCGAATAACTGGGACTCAGATTTCCATATGCTGGCAGTGAGTCAAAGCGGGAACCCCACCGACCATCAGCTGCAAGGTGAGTCGAATCGGAGGTGGCAAATGGTACAAGAGCCCTCGTGCAGTAGCCTTCAACCACCTTCAACAGGTAACATCGTAGTTTCTAGTTTCTAGTTTATAATTTTTAATTTGATTTAATTCAATTAAATTGTTAATAAGTTCAATGATGAATTTAGCTAATATGTGTTTCATTTTATAGTAAACTACACGTTTAGCACCCCAATTATGACTTTTGTTCCGTTTTAGTCATTTAACTATTTTTTTTCAAAATCATAACTAACGTTACGTTTTGATTTAATTTCATCACATATAGTTAAAAAATTAACATAACTACTGACGTGATATTTTTTTTAATGATGATATGGTATGGTATTATATTATAGTGACTATTAGCATCACCGTTAATTTTTTAACGGGTGACCAAAGTGAAACCAAAACTATATGATTTTGAAAAAAAAGTATAATCTTAAAAAAGAAATAGTATAGTGATCAAAACGGGAAAAAATAATAATTAGAGTGCTAAATTTGTAGTTATCCTTCATTTTATTTGAAGTACGAAATTTTTGAAATCGATTTTTGGAGATTTTGTAGGGCCCCAGCCATTGGATGAACTGTCGCAAGAAGATACGCACTATTCTCAGACAGTCTACACCATCCTCCAAGCCCAACAAACCCGCTGGGCCGAGTCACCGTCAACCGGCTACGCCGCCACCTACTCCACCACCCAATCAGCATTTACCAACTGGACAGCCCGTTCAGACCACCAACTCCATTCGACCGTCGTCGAGGGCACTTCCCAGTGGCTCCTCAAGTACATTCTATTCACCGTACCATTCCTCCACACCAAATACCGCGACGAGAACTCCCCCAAGTTACGCGACTCCGACGCAGCCTCCGCCGCCCGGTTCCGCAAGGGAACCCCTCAGGAGGAGCCCAGCGCCAACCACGTGCTAGCGGAGAGGCGGAGACGCGAGAAGCTCAACGAGAGGTTCATCATATTAAGGTCTTTGGTCCCTTTCGTTACCAAAATGGACAAAGCTTCCATACTGGGGGACACCATCGAGTACGTGAAACAGTTACGTAAAAAGATCCAAGAGCTGGAAACACGTAACAGGGAAATCGAAGCCGATAACGAACGGCCGAGATCGGCGGATTCGGTGCTCGGAAATCAGAGGAGTGGGGTAACTACACGATCATTGGGGCCGGATAAAAAGAAGATGAGGGTTGTGGAAGGTGGAGCAAAGCCGAAGACGGTTGAAACGTTAGTTGAAGTGTCGATAATAGAAAGCGATGCGTTGCTGGAGTTGCAGTGCGGGTACAGGGAAGGGTTGTTGCTTGATCTAATGCAGATGTTGAGGGAAAAGCTGAGGATTGAGATAACGGCGGTTCACTCTTCTTTGAGCAATGGCTTGTTCGTAGCTGAGTTAAGAGCCAAGGTACGTTAATAATTAATACTACTAATTAAAAAAGGGTAAACTACACGTTTAGTACCCTAATTATCATTTTATTCCGTTTTGGTCACCTAATTATTATAGTTTTCGAAATCAAGCCTAACATTACATTTTGGTTTCATTTTGGTCATCCACTATTAAAAGATTAACGGAATTGCTGATGTGGTGGCATTTTTAATTTTTTTCAGTGATAATGTGGCATTACCTTATAGTGACACATCATCATCACTTTGTATTTTTCAACAATGAGTGACCAAAATGAAACTAAAATATAATGTTAATATGATTTTGAAACAAAAATAGTTAAGTGACTAAAATGAAACAAAAGTGATAGTTGGGTACTAAACATGTAGTTTACCCATTAAAAAGGAATGTAGGTTTTAATACGATCGATGTGGTGTTTGAAAATGAATGGCAGGTGAAGAATAATATGAACGGGAAGAAAGTAAGCATTATGGAGGTGAAGAGGGCAATAAATCAAGTAATACCTCAATTCTAATATTAGTTTTGACAATACAATTATTGCTATATATAAACATAATGCATGTGTAATTAATTAAGGAGATTCAGATACTTGACCCTTGAAAAAACAGTCTGTTGCAGATGAACTTAGTAAGTCCATTCTTGAGGAAGAAAAATGTGGGTGGCCTAAGAATTCCCATTAACACAACGTTTGCTTGATACATCCTTCCCTTTTTTATTATTGAATGAATTCAACTCTCCACCTCTTGCATCATTCTTCTTCTTAGGATCTGCATGCATGAGAAAAAACAACAGCAAAAAACCACATTTTTAGTTTTACACAAGAAAAAACAAAGGGAAAAAGAGATCTGCGTGGAGAGATTTGGAGGCCTAATTCATGAACATTGAGGTTGAGAGCTTGAACAACTCGACCGGTAAGGGAGTAGAACTGGAGAGCAAGCTGCTTGCACCGTCACCGCCAACAACGTCAATAATAATTTATCCGATGACTATTATATCTATATTGCACAGATACGGTGACGGATACGGGAACATAAAATGGTAACTTTCAAAATTATAGGATACGTGTACAGATACAAGGATAGATACTTAATGAAATGTTGAGAGTGGGAGTACTTGAACCTGGTGGTCTGGTTGAGCGAAATGCATTATTGGTTTGAGTTTGAGGAAGGAAAACGCCAGTCCCGGTTGATTTGTCACCGGAATGTAGGGGAAATGCCTGCATTTCACCTCCCCCCGATGCCCAGCTGCTCTTTGGGAGATGTTTGTATATGTCAAAAACCAAAATATATCAGAAAATCAGAATCCATCCCCCATCAAAAAAACCATATCAAAGTGATGAATAGTACTAATGGATGATGAGATTCTCAAAATCCCACGAGAAAATATAGTACAGTCTAGAAGAGTTTATAGAGCATAAAATCAAATCATTTGAGGAAGCCTAAAACATATATAAAATGGTACTCCTAAAAGCCACTTTATTTAATTAGATATTTATATTTAATATAATTTTAAATAGATTAAGCTTTCCTTTCATATAGAAGGTTTATCTACAAGGACGTATTTACCTAGTGTTTGGGACGAGCCATTGTCTCTTTAATTTTTAATTTAAATATTTAATAAATTTTCATTCTTTATCCCTCAACATCTAATCCTTTTCTGACCATGTGCATAAATTAGGGTTAGGTTTTAGCATAATAGCTGAGAATGCTAATATCATTTAACCTATTTAAAGAGTAAGATTATAAGTATGATAATTTTAACTTTTTATTTTTCTAATATTACTCTAGTAATATTACGCTAATAATGTAGCATATATCTTCTTAAAAAACTATTTTTTAAATAAAATTTATGTATATGAATAGAAAATCTGTTTTAAACTAAAATTTATCTATTTAAATGTTCACAATGAGATTAGCTACGAAATTAAAAATTATATATATATAAGATCACAAATTAATAAAAAAATAAAAATAAATAAAGGTTTATAATAGGATAATAATTTTATCTGATCTTGACGGATCTCAATTTAGTTTAGTATGATTGGGTTCAAATTTTTTTCTTTTTTAATTGAGAAGTGAGACGGATTTTTATTAAAAAATTTAGGATCAAGTCAGGACTGTGTTTAGGTGCAATTCGTCCTGCTCAACCTGGGTATATTTATTAAAATAAACTGTTGAAGAACAAAAAATTATCATTGACTGAATCCTCCTAAACTATTATGGGAAGTTATGTTGTACGGCGGATAAAAAACGGCGTGATCGATTAAACACGTGATTGGTTAAAATTTTGACCGGTAATGTAATTACGTTCGAAGAAAATTAGGCGATGTAGGTATTGCAACGGTGAGGGACATAACAAACTAACATGTCCTCAAGTCAAGCTCAGTTTGAATACAAGCACACAGCCTACATCAACTGATTTTTTTGAAGACGGAATGGAATGGACATTCAGTCCTGCACGTGATGACAATGATCTCCATATATCATAAGTATCAACATGACTCCTATTGTGTATAAGAAACATGTACAACAACCAATTGCTAACTTTTCTCGTCTCATACATAAATACATCACATACAAAATTATAAATCGTATGTAACTTATACAAAATTAACCCTACATTAACAAAATTTACTCTCTTAGCCTATTTTGATTGTAGCTTACGAGACCGTTTAATATTTCATCCGCATCATCACATAAATGCCAAACAATCTGCAGACTATAGTCTCCCGCAATCATGATCGTAATCAGTTCTGTAACTGGGATTATCCAGGTTAATCATGTTGACAGCATAGCCAACAAAACATGGGGGTTCAAATGGTAAGCTAAGAATTGGTAAGGTAAGCTTCTTTTGAGGGTTTAGGGTTTAGAGCCCTCCAACGTAAGGATTGCATGATTGAACATTACGTATAATAGTTGTATTCAGTTGTTAAAGAATTGTTTTTAATTTTGTATAAGGATAGTTGTTGTGATATACGTTTGCGTTTCGGGACCAAGTAGTTAGATGCGTGCATTAACCTATATCCTCGAGGCAGAGAAATCTGGCACTTAAAAATTTACCAAGAGCGGTAGCTTTTGCTCTGCATGAAGATCGAACCTAGAATCAACTTTGCAATTATGCCTATTTTTCAACAGGTTCTCTTCAGCATGATAGGTATAATTGCAAAGTTGATTCTAGGTTCGGTCTTCATGCAGGGCAAAAGCTACCGCTCTTGGTAAATCTATACAACTACCAAAGTGTCGATACTTTTATGTCAGGTGTCGATACTTTCGATAGGATAATTACCTATTTCTTTGAAAGTATCGATAATTTATTACACGTACTTATTAAAGTATCGACACTTTCAATATATCCGGTGGCGCTTTACTGGTTTTATCATTTCGATATCGGTTTTGTCAGAATTTTACATGTTATATCGTTGTGGATCAATACATTTTTTTAAAGTATCGACACTTTATAGGGGCTAAAACTGTTTCTCTTTTAAATTCACAAAGTGTCGATACTTATATTAAAGTATCGACACTTTCAATATATCCGGTAGCGCTTTACCGGTATTGTCTTTTTGTGCCGGTTTTGTCATATTTTTACCTGTTATATTGATATAGATCGATACATTTTTAATTTGGATCGACACAAACCGACAAGTTAAGTTTGCCGGTTGCCAAATTTTTTAATATTTCTTCATGATTTAGACCTACTACATTATTATTACTCAACATTTCCGGTAGTGCTAAACCGAATTTGTTAAATATATTTTAATGTATCTGGTAACGCCGTATATTAATCGTATATTAACCCGTCTTTCCTGACAATCCCAACTATTATATGTAATTATTCTAAATCCTGATATTTTTAAGTCAGAAAATATTTTTCAGCCGATGAGATGTTGACATGTAACGTAAAATTAGATAGTTGTTTGTTTTAATAAAAAAAGTATAAATAGTTAAAAGCAAAAATAAAAGCATAATTTAATGGCTCGTTTTTAGTTGAAGCCTTGCAGTTATGATGTAATTCGGTACAAGGAATTAAAAAGAAGTTATATTTGGACTAATTGGAAAACAAGGAAAGTTCCCTTAACTTGTTTAACATGCACGCCGAGAAAAGGAAAGGGAAGAAGATGACAAATTCAATAATAATTTCCAACATTAAGAAATCTTAATTTCTGGCAATTCCTCGATTTTCACCCTCATCCCAGAATTCACGGATTCTTTAAATTTTCTCAAGAAATCCCAACATTTCACAGATTTTGAGATATCTAAATCTCAGCAACTACCGACTTATACTTGTGAATAACATACATCGTTTAGTTCAAAACGGGCATTCAAAAGAGAAAAACAAAACGCAAAATGATGCATGCATTTCCGGTGGGAAACACTCTGTAAGGAGCTTTGAACGACGGCGATGGTAATGGTACTTAACATCGTCCTGTAAATTAACAACAAATGAATAAAAAGACTAAACCGTGATGAAATGGAAGAACAGATCAAGGGTTAAATGAGATTGAAAAAAAGACGACCTTAGTTTTCTGATATTGCTTCATCGAGAAGGCAGCCATGACATTGCTACCTCGACCGCCATTGTGTTAAAGGCAGAGGCTTTTGAGCCCCAACTTTTAACCTGCAAGTTAACTACTGTGTATTTTGATGTGGTAATCCATCTATATATATATATGCAAAAGCAGCTTATTAAAACGGCTAATCTTATTCTTAACAACCGCACCAACAAACTTGAAAATATGCATGTTTGGTTTAGGAAAGTAGGTCCACCTCTAAAAACTTTTCAGATTTAACCCAACTTCAATTTTTAATTTTGAATACAAAACAATCTCAGCTAAATACTTTTCAACTTGTATTAAGCTTAGTACTTTTCGAGCTCAACTCCACTTGTTTATCTCTCTAAACTTGTAGAGTGCCATCAAATGACCTCCCAGCTCCCAAATTTTCATTAAATTGATCAGAAAATTCTCTCTTGGACCGAAGCCTGATACATTATTATGTACTGAATCAGCTAACTGATTCAGTTAGTAGATCCAACAAACTTGGATCTGTCAACCAACTAACTAACTTGCTCAAATATACCTAAACCCATTACAGCTTGAATCCATCATACACGTTCCTGGACCTGATCTGAATATTGTTCAATATTCACTCTACTTTCGTTTTCTTCTCATATTAAGCTCGATGAAGATACAACATTAAGCAACGGACGAAAATTGAACAACTATTGCACTGGTAGAAGCTTAGACTCAAGAGTCATTCATATTGCATACTATGGTATTCGAATTTGACTCAATTATTATTAAATCAAGAGAGAGAAAATTCGAGTTAAACTCGAATGACTTACTTGTACTAGTACCATACCCAACAATTTCGCAATAAAAACATGTTTTAATAGTAATTTGGTAGAATAAAAAAGATTGAGATGTAGGCAAATAATGACGGAAATTGCAAGAGCATAGACAGAAAGATATATTAAGAATACAAGAATAGGGACAAGAGTAGCAGTAGCACAGAGAGAGATGCAGGAAACGCAGGTAGTTGTCGGGTACTT